GTAGAAGTTCTTGACAAGAAAGAATGGAAACGTAAAGTGTGGACAAGACAAGACAATTAGTAGGTAAATATAGTCAGCCAACTGTATCAATCAAAAATAGTCCTGGAAAGGTACTTACTAACACTAAAGATCAAATGGACAGAAGGGCTGAATATTTTGAAATGCTTCTAAATAGACCAGGCCCAGAGGTTCCCCCAGATATCCAGCCTTTAGAAATGGAACTGGATATCAACTGTGAGATACCATCTAATGAAGAAATTAGAAAAGCTATCAATCTTCTCAAGGAAGGAAAGGCGGCAGGTCCAGATGGTATCCCAGCATAAACACAACAACGGAATTGCTACATAGATTATTTAGTAAAGACTGGGAGACTGACGAAATACCAGCAGACTGGAGAGAAGGATATCTTGTGAAACTGCCTAAAAAAGGTGATCTATATGAGTGTGAAAGCTATAGAGGAATTATGTTGCTGTTAGCTCCTGGACAAATATTAAGTAAAATTATTTTGGAAAGATTAAAAGATGCTATTGACAAAAAGCTAAGAAATGAACAGGCAGGTTTTCAGCAAAACAGATCCTGTACTGACCAGATAGCTACATTACGTATAATAATAGAGCAAAGCATTGAACTGAACTCACCACTTTAATTGGATTCACAGACTATGAAAAAGCATTTGACAGCATTTATAGGGAATCTCTCTGAAAATTGATGGGGCACTATGGAATCCCTTTAGAAAATTGTAACTTAGTAAAGGCAACATATAAAGACATGAAATGTCGAGTTCTTCATGAGGGAAAGCTAACAGATACATTTGAAATAAAAACAGGTATGCGACAGGGATGTCTTTTGTCGCCTCTATTATTTTTACTGGCTATAGACTGGACTATGAAGACAGTAACTGCTAACATCAAGAATGGAATTCAGTGGACTCCTACAAAACAGCTTGATGATCTGGACTTCACTGATGATATTTCTCTTCTGTCCCATTCACAGAATCAGATGCAAGATAAATTAAATATACTTGGTGCGAAATCACAGCAGCCAGGTCTGAAAATCCATAAAGGAAAGACAAAGACAATGAGAATAAATCAGGCAAATAGTAATGTTGTTTCTATTAATGGGACCCCACTCCAAATTGTGGAGTGGTACACCTTTTTGGGCAGTAATTTAGATACAAATAGGGGAACTGATAGAGATATTAAAAAAAGAATACAAAAGGCAAGAGGAGCTTTCATAGCACTTAGGAATTTATGGAGGTCAAAAGAAATTAAAAGAATTACCAAACTTAAAATTGTTAATTCTTATGTCAAATCAGTACTTTTGTATGGGACGGAAACATGGAGAACAACTAAGGCAATTACTAATAAATTACAGACATTCATTAACTGGTGCCTGCACAGAATAGAGGGAATTAAATGGTATGATAGAATAACTAATGTAGAGCTTTAAGAGAGAACTAAGCAAGCTCCAGTGAACCAAGAGGTGAGGAAAAGACGCTGACATTGGATAGGACACACATTGAGAAAACCGGAAAACAGCATAACTAGAATTTCTTTGCATTGGAACCCACAGGGGCCTAGGAATAAAGGAAGGCCAAAAAAAAAAAAAAAAAAAAAAACACATGGAGAAGAGAGCTGGAGAATGAAGTTAGAAAGAAGAGGAGGACATGGGGAGAGCTCCATGCAATAGTGAAGGATAGAACGACTTGGCGTGAGTTGGTTGAGAGCCTATGCTCCAATGGGGGAAAGAAAGGCAGAAGAAGAAGAATAGCTAGCTAATAAAATCTGACATAGACATTAACTTCAAAATGAATGTGAGAAGCAGATTGATAACCATGCAGAAGGTTTCCCTGTGTGACTGTACCAGCACTTGCTCAGGGAACCATGCAGAACGTTTCCCTGTGACTGTAGCAGCACTTGCTCAGGGAATCATGCAGAAGGTTTCCCTGTGTGACTGTACCAGCTCTTGCTCAGGGAATCATGCAGAAGGTTTCCCTGTGTGACTGTACCAGCACTTGCTCAGGGAACCATGCAGAAGGTTTCCCTGTGTGTGACTGTAGCAGCACTTGCTCAGGGAACCATGCAGAAGGTTTCCCTGTGTGACTGTACCAGCACTTGCTCAGGGAACCATGCAGAAAATTACCCTGTGTGACTGTACCAGCACTTGCTCAGGGAATCATGCAGAAGGTTTCCCTGTGTGTGACTGTAGCAGCACTTGCTCAGGGAACCATGCAGAAGGTTTCCCTGTGTGTGACTGTAGCAGCACTTGCTCAGGGAACCATGCAGAAGGTTTCCCTGTGTGTGACTGTACCAGCACTTGCTCAGGGAACCATGCAGAAGGTTTCCCTGTGTGACTGTAGCAGCACTTGCTCAGGGAACCATGCAGAAGGTTTCCCTGTGTGTGACTGTAGCAGCACTTGCTCAGGGAACCATGCAGAAGGTTTCCCTGTGTGTGACTGTACCAGCTCTTGCTCAGGGAACCATGCAGAAGGTTTCCCTGTGTGACTGTACCAGCACTTGCTCAGGGAACCATGCAGAAGGTTTCCCTGTGTGTGACTGTAGCAGCACTTGCTCAGGGAACCATGCAGAAGGTTTCCCTGTGTGTGACTGTACCAGCACTTGCTCAGGGAACCATGCAGAAGGTTTCCCTGTGTGACTGTACCAGCACTTGCTCAGGGAACTATGCAGAAGGTTTCCCTGTGTGACTGTACCAGCACTTGCTCAGGGAATCATGCAGAAGGTTTCCCTGTGTGACTGTACCAGCACTTGCTCAGGGAACCATGCAGAAGGTTTCTCTGTGACTGTACCAGCACTTGCTCAGGGAACCATGCAGAAGGTTTCCCTGTGTGACTGTAGCAGCACTTGCTCAGGGAACCATGCAGAAGGTTTCCCTGTGCGACTGTAGCAGCACTTGCTCAGGGAACCATGCAGAAGGTTTCCCTGTGTGACTGTAGCAGCACTTGCTCAGGGAACTATGCAGAAGGTTTCCCTGTGTGACTGTACCAGCACTTGCTCAGGGAATCATGCAGAAGGTTTCCCTGTGTGACTGTACCAGCACTTGCTCAGGGAACCATGCAGAAGGTTTCCCTGTGACTGTACCAGCACTTGCTCAGGGAACCATGCAGAAGGTTTCCCTGTGTGACTGTAGCAGCACTTGCTCAGGGAACCATGCAGAAGGTTTCTCTGTGTGACTGTAGCAGCACTTGCTCAGGGAACCATGCAGAAGGTTTCCCTGTGTGACTGTAGCAGCACTTGCTCAGGGAACCATGCAGAAGGTTTCCCTGTGTGACTGTAGCAGCACTTGCTCAGGGAATCTAAGAAGGGTCATTGATATTGTGATATTGATGACCCAGAGAAACGAACAAGATTGAGGCTTGGTATGGATAGAGCATCTTTTAACCGTTGGATTAGACAGAACACACAGTACGCTTATGTCAAGCAAGGAAGGAAACAGAAAGTTGACGACTTTGATGAAGATGTCATTAGACATGAGATCTTAAAAATGTTATAGACAAATCAACTTGTTACTCTCCGAAAACTGAAATTAACGTTGAAATCACAATGCAGCATTGAATAGCTCTGTCCTAAGGTCTATTGGGGACGGAAGGGGAATACTGGGGACATGTTTACAGTTGAACAAGGCAGACAGATTGGCTGGACCTGCATCAAAGGGTGATGAACTGATACATGACAAGGCAGATGTGGTCAAGCCCTTTGGGATCAAGTAACGAAGTCAGAAGAGAAAATAGATTATCATAGCCTTGAGAGAATTATACACCTAGATGGCAGCAGAGGGCCTAGCCCGCACACTGTACTCAGAGGATAGGCAGACTGGACATATAATCAGACTGTGTCTGGTACCATTAGTATAGGAACTCTGCACTGGCTGCTGAAGATGTGAAGGGAACGCAAATGGGAATGTCCTGAGTGCTGTGATGTTTGTCTTGACTCAGGTCAACTCAGCGCAGTTGAACATAAATGACAACAAATTAATTTTCTTTACCTATCAATGTACTATGAAGACACACCTCTGAACATCAATGTACTATGAAGACACACCTCTGGACATCAATGTACTATGAAGACACACCTCTGGACATCAATGTACTATGAAGACACACCTCTGGACATCAATGTACTATGAAGACACACCTCTGGACATCAATGTACTATGAAGACACACCTCTGAACACAAAAATAGAACCAGAAATTCAGATGTTTACTGTAAAATATAAATGTTCACTCTACTTATTTACAATGGTTTGAAAAGATCAAAGGAATTTGTTGATATTCAGCATCCTGAGCATCTATGGACTAAAGAATACCATTTGTTGTTGTTGGGCGTCATGGACATTCTAAGACTGCATGCATTAATCGTTGACTCTACATCTTAGTTATGTTTCTTTCTGATGTGTCTCTGTTGAACGTGGATCCAAGATTCTCATCTTTGAGGGTCCTTATTACCAGTCCCTCCTATTCCAAGTCTCGGTGACAATTAAAGATTCTCGTCTGCAAGGGTCTATATTACTAGTCGCTGTTCTTCTAAGTCTCGTAGACTGAAGAATAAAGATTCTCGCCTTTAAGGGTCCATATTACTACTCCCCCTATTCCAAGTCTCGATGACTGAAGGTTGAAGATTACCCAAGTGGTTTCTTACTAACTTTTTATACTGAGATGCTGGAATGCATGGTTTGTGTTTTTCTACTCACTACTGCTTCTGAAAGATTCTTGTATGCTAAAACTTGTTTACTGTGTGTATGTATTTACACCTCAGAGATTATTTATTTATAACTCATGTATTCATACTTCACAAATGATTTATATATCAAATCCTATATTAACACTTTACTGATAATTCATACATTATTCATGTATTTACATATATTGAAAGCATGGAACTGGTGATGACTTGCCTGTTCCAGCTTTTCTTAGATGAAATTGTGCAACCAGTGACAGCTTGCCTGTCCTAGATTACAGAAATCACATTGCTATCTTCCACAGATTATGTGCCGAATTCGCCCGTTTATTCCTGAAAGAATTGTTGAATATGTGGAGAAGGTGCTTTTTGCAGTTCTTGGATAAACAGCGATGACTCTAGGTGGTCCAGACAGCCAGTTTTCTGTGGCTTCGGGGTTGATTTCTTTGTTTTTAAAATGACTGATTTTTCTGGTGCATTGATCAAAGTTAAATTTTAATTTGTCTGTTCATTTGTTGAATTTTAAATTTTGTTTTGTGAGGGTGTGTATACATGTCTACTTATCTCATTAAATGACATACATACATGTGTACTTATCTATATATATATAATGTCACCTATCTGATTAAATGACATATATAATGGGTAAATATCTGATGATATGACATATATAGGGTCTTCATATCTGATAATATGACATATATAATGTCTACTTATCTGATGTTTGACACAAATAATAACTATCAATCTGATGTTTGACACATATATTGTCTATCAATCAGATGATATGATATATATAATGTCTACTTATCTGATGATATGACATATATAATGTCAACATATCTGATGTTATGACATTTATAATGTCTACATATCTGATGATATGACATATACAATGTCTGCTTATCGGATGTTTGACACATACAAAGTCTACTTATCTGATGACATGACATTAATGTCTACTTATCTGATGACATGACATATATAATGTCTACTTAACTGATGATATGACATATATAATGTCTACATATCTGATATTTGATATATGATGTCTATTTCGCTAAAGTTTGACATATATAATGTCTATCTATCTGATAATATGACATTTATAATGTCTAGTTATCTGATGTTTGACACATATAATGTCTATCAGTCTGACGTTTGACACATATAATGTCTATCAATCTGATGTTTGACACATATAATGTCTATCAGTCTGACGTTTGACACATATAATGTCAGATGATATGATATATATAATGTCTACTTATCTGATGTTATGACATTTATAATGTCTACATATCTGATGTTATGACATTTATAATGTCTACATATCTGATGATATGACATAGATAATGTCTACTTATCTGATATGACATAGATAATGTCTACTTATCTGATATGACATATATAATGTCTACTTATCTGATTTTTGACATATATAATGTCTACTTATCTGATTTTTGACATATATAATGAATACTTATTTGATGATATGACATATATAATGTCTACTTATCTGATTTTTGACATATATAGTGTCTACTTATCTGATGATATGACATATATAATGTCTACTTATCTAGCTACTTATGCCGCAAACAAAATCAACCACTGTATGTTGCTTTTATTGATCTTACCAAGGCATTTGATTTGATTAATCAAAAAGGTCTGTACAGTGCACTGAAGAAGATTGGGTGTCCACCTACTCTACTGAGTATTATTGAGTCGTTCCACACAGGTATGAAAGGTAAAATCAACTGTGTTGGTGAAACATTGGAGTTTTTAATCGAAAATTGAGTGAAGCAGGGGTGTGTATTTGCTCCTACCCTCTTTGGAATATACTTTTCACTTTTTTGACACACGCCTTTCGAGATCAGGAGGGTGGTATTTTCATTCATTCTCGATCTGACGGCAGCCTTTACAATGCTCGCAGGCTGAAGGCCAAAACCAGGATAAGAAAGGCACTTATCAGAGAGCTGCTGTTTGCAGATGATGCCACAATAACCACCCACTCAAAGGAGGAGCTGCAGTTTTTACTATCTGCCTTTGCTGATGCGTGCTGTGAATTTGAACTAACAGTCAGCAAAAAGAAGACAAAGGTTATGGTGCAAGGTGTCAATGACAGACCTACAGTCTACATTGATGATAAAGAGCTGGAGACAGTAGACCATTTTACCTATCTGGGTTTCACAGTGAATAGTAAACTATCGCTGGACCAAGAAATCAACATCAGGATAGGTAAGGCAGCAACAACAATGAGCAGATTGACAAAGAGAGTTTGGGAGAACAGAAAGCTCACAATTAAAACAAAAACCCTTGTCTAACAAGCTTGTGTTCTCAGCACTCTGCTTTATATCAGTGAAACTTGGTCAGCCTATTTGCACCAGGAGAGACGGCTAAATAGCTTTCACATGTGATGCCTAAGAAGAATACTTGGCATTAAGTGACAGGACAAAATCACAAATACTGAAGTACTGGAAAGAGCAGGTACTACAACAGTCTTTTCCATGCTCAGTCTACGAAGGCTCAGGTGGCTGGGTCACACCTGGAGAATGGAGGATGGCAGAGTCCCTAAGGACATCCTCTATGGTGATTTAAAGACAGGAAGAAAATGTTGAGGCCCACCTCTACTACGTTATAAAGATGTATGCAAGCGGGACATGAATGATACAGGTATTGAGGCGGGCTCATGGGAACAAAATGCCAGGGACCGTGTTGTGTAAAAAGGGCATATCAGGAAGGGAATGAGACTGAAGGAAGAAATGATTGCAGAAAGGATGAGAGCTGAGCGTCTGAAGAGAAACGGATTAAACACAAATGTTGACAACAATGGTCCTGAAATCCCATGCTATCATTGTGGAAGACTTTTCTTGACACGGGCGGGTCTTGCTAGTCATCCTTGCCATGGGCTGTGAGTCTTATGCCTCCTCATAGCGCAATATAACACTATAGTCTGGAAAGACGGAAAGGTGCCAATGATCTAGCTATATGCAAAAGTTGCTTGGCATAACAGTCCCCCCCCCCCCCTTTCCCCCCCTTTATTTTTGTTGTTGTTGCTGGGTTAATGTAACAGTTCTCACTGATTGACTGGGTTAATGTAACAGTTTTCACTGACTGGCTGGGTTATTGTAACAGTTCTCACTGATTGGCTGGGTTAATGTAACAGTTTTCACTGACTAGCTGGGTTAATGTAACAGTTTTTACTGATTGGCTGGGTTAATGTAACAGTTCTCACTGACTAGCTGGGTTAATGTAACAGTTCTCACTGACTAGCTGGGTTAATGTAATAGTTTTCACTGACTGGCAGGGTTAATGTAACAGTTCTCACATATTGGTTGGGTTAATGTAACAGTTCTCACTGATTGACTGGCTTAATGTAACAGTTTTCACTGACTGGCTGAGTTATTGTAACAGTTCTCACTGATTGACTGGGTTAATGTAACAGTTCTCACTGACTAGCTGGGTTAATGTAACAGTTCTCACTGACTAGCTGGGTTAATGTAATAGTTTTCACTGACTGGCAGGGTTAATGTAACAGTTCTCACATATTGGTTGGGTTAATGTAACAGTTCTCACTGATTGACTGGCTTAATGTAACAGTTTTCACTGACTGGCTGGGTTATTGTAACAGTTCTCACTGATTGGCTGGGTTAATGTAACAGTTTTCACTGACTAGCTGGATTAATGTAACAGTTTTTACTGATTGGCTGGGTTAATGTAACAGTTCTCACTGACTAGCTGGGTTAATGTAACAGTTCTCACTGACTAGCTGGGTTAATGTAATAGTTTTCACTGACTGGCAGGGTTAATGTAACAGTTCTCACTAACTAGCTGGGTTAATGTAAAGGTTCTCACTGATTAGCTGAGTTGCATAATAGTTCTCACTATCAGCTGGGTTGGTTGGCATAACAGATTGGCTGGATTGACAAAGGAGTTCTCACTGATTGGTTGGCGTAAGTTCTCACCAGTTGGCTGGGTTTTTGTGAAAGTTTTATTTGTGAGGGACCACCATTGTTCACAGATAAATTTGTTAAATACCCAATCTCCTCCAGTACGTCACAGAGAAACTGTTTACTGAACTCTAATGACAACAACATGGAGGTGTGTGTTTCTCATTTTAAAAACAGAACTCGAAAAAAAAGCTTATAGAACTAGGTAATTCTCATTACTGAGACATGAAAGCAGAGTCACAGATTATGGAACTGTGTGATTCTCATTATAAAAACACAAAGCTAGAGAAAAGCTGATAGAACTAGGTAATTTTCATACTGAGACATGAAATCAGACACAGATTATGGAACTGTGGGATTCTCATTATAAAAACACAGAGCTAGAGAAAAAGCTGATAGAACTAGGTAATTCTCATTACTGAGACATGAAAGCAGAGTCACAGATTATGGAACTGTGTGATTCTCATTATAAAAACACAGTACTAGAGAAAAAGCTCTCCAACTTTAACTGACATATGTTAAAACTGAAAAAAACATTAGAATCGAAATACGTAATATCATCCTAAAACTATATATAACGTATATTGTATGCATAAACAGCAGTTATGTTACATTATGTTATTACTATCGACATCTTTGTACATTCGACTTTTCTGTGCATGCACAGTCCTCCAATGCAGCAGCCACTCCAAGGTACCTCTGCTGTTCCCATGAGGAGTTGGTTATAGTATCTCCTGTCTTTACCTGGAAAATGTCATAGACATGCTTCACCAAGCTTCACGCAATCCTGTTAGCGTTAGACATACAACAGTATCCCTCTAGTAATCTGGTAATCTTAGTTTCAGCTTCATACCAAATGGGTCACCCCATAGTTGCTCCACTCTTGTGCCAACGAAAAACACACAAAATGTTTATCACACTCCCTTGTGGAAAGATTGACAGACTGCTGTCTCAGCATATCTAGCATACACATGCATTAAAAGCATACGGTAGCCATCCAAAGTGCTAACACAGTCTGACATTAGAAATGCAGTTCATCATGGATGGTAGGAGAAGTCACCAACCGATCAGCAGTTGCACACGCGATCAATTTTAATCACATAATGGCACCACCAATATTGCATCGTGTCATTTTCTGAATCTACAATTCACACCACCTTGTTGATCACAGTCGAAAAACATTCCAAATGAAATCTGCAGCTCACAGTGTCATGCCATGCACTCAACTCAGAAGCTGGGTGACGAAACTATATCCTTTCAGTCTATAAATGGAGCAAAAATGCAACGGCCACCGTCTGGCAGAAGCAAAAAATTTGCCATGGCTCCAAATAGTGGCCGTGCCTAGCTTCCTTTTTGACCAGAAGTTAAAATGCCCTCTAGTGTTCGTGTGGATTGACACAAGCCTCAGCTGACTTTGATGTCAGTGAGAAACT